GAGTAATTGTTGCGGTTGTTGTTCCTGTTGTTCTAATACTTGCTTCGGGTACCACAAGTAAGTGCAAAATATTTGTTAAGCAACCATAATCCAAATCATAACTGTGTTTATCATCTTTAAATCTGTTCTATGATAAGATTAGCATGAAAGAACGCTGAGCTTAGTGTTTGAATATACTCACGGAGAAATTTTTTAAACATTGCATTTTTGTTTCCTACACGTTAGTAAAGAAGGTGAGTTGGATAAACCTATTCGCCATGGTTCTTTGATTCTTGCTTGCTGTTGTTTTTATCACTTGACATCATTTTGGTTTCGAAAATGTAATATATTTCAGAACAGAACATCTTGCAGCCTTTTGTCCAGTTAATCATCTTAGTCGTCTCAAAACGTAACAGGTAGAAATCGAAAGTTCAGAACTCCACTATATACCGATTGCGCAAAATCTTCCTAATCATTTTTTCCACTGAAATATTAACAGTGATTCACAATGTCATGATCCTTATTAGTTTACTTAGGTATGCACCGGTGAAGATTCGATTTCTTCTATTAATAGTTCCGATCCATAAACTCATGGATTATCAACTCATTTCTGTCTGCGATTGACAAAGTTATTGATTTTCTCATTCAAACAAAATATATTCATCATTTTCACATTAAGGTGTACCCAGAATTTCTTATCTCAATTGCTCCCAGAATCAACCTATCAGATGATAAACGGATAAACAGATAGCACTCGCTTCCTTCGTCTAAAAAATTTAGATTCGAAAACTCGCCAAAGTTAGACCGCGACAGCTTATGAATATTAGTGTGGATGTGGATGTGGACGTCAATACGAGTTTACAGGTATCAGTAGATACTGGTGAAGTTGTTGCCGATGCGAACAACGAGATCCATGTAGATATTGCTGCTGTTGTGTTTGAGTGTGTAGGTGGGGATAACAGTGACTCTCCCTACGTGGTTGATGAGTTTGTGTGTGATTGCATGTGAGTTGGAGTTCGAATCAATTCTAGTAAATAAAAATGTCCTCGCGCATCCAGACGCTTCATTCGAAAACCAGCAACGGCACGAGCACTTCGCAAAACATCCCTCACCCATAGCGGCAAGCAACAATTATACAAACATGTATATTCAGATACTCAGAACTACACGTGCTCACTTATTCACGCTCGCACCGACAGCTAGTCATACTCACAGACACATTCATGCATAAACATTGGACGAGAGCCCATCCCAATTGGAACCTACAACCAAACTTACACCCTACATATCATACCTTGATTTTGTGGCATTCTATAAACAAAGCTTTCACATTACATTGTACAGAATTCATATAAAGTATAGTGTCTCATGTCAAAAATTATTCAGCGTATTGTGTTCAGAAATTTTAATTAAAATTCTAGACATTCATGTCTATCATCATGTGACTAAAATAGTCTATTTTCGTTTTATTCGCTTATCAGAGAATAATGAGATGCAAATGTTTAGCTCTGCTTTTACAATTATTGTCACTTTCTCTTATTCCAAGCACCGCTTAAAAAGGACTTCGTAAATCAACCTCTAGATTTTCCTATACTATTCATTTATTGATGTATCAATTCTCTTGACCAAAGAAGGTCTTGCAAATCATTTGTCGATTGACGTGAAGCTATATCTATACGATTATATAAAATTGGAACCCATAAGAGAATATTGTCTTTAATACATAAGACTTTAAAGATACTTCCTCGTTTTACTTTTGTTTGTGATATAAGATCATTGTATAAATGAAAACAATGCCAAGAAGAATAAAATCTTCAGCGACTGTATTTGAAAAAGATTCAAATAAACAAAAGAGTTATTTAGGAATGGGAACTTCGATCGATTGAGAATATATTTCCATAATTACTTTTGGTTTTTGGCCTTTGAAGACTAATGATAAGCTACGCCTAAGTCGTCTAGATTGGACATGTGCGAATAAGACTAAGTTGATAAACATATTCAATATTTGCGTAGAAATAATCAATTGTTTATGGAATGGGCTTAGAATCACAATTAAAACGATTATTAAATATTTCAAAGATAGAAAATAAGAGTAATCCATTATTTATGCTTTACCATTGAGTATCACTACATAAGAGATGATTTTCGAACGAGCTCGTTTTCTGAAAGACCACAAAAGAATACTGGTGATGGTTCTTCATGTGAGTGATATGTATATATATTAAAACTGTTTAAAACAGTAGTTATCAAAAACGATTGATCCATAATTTAACAAATAAAGAATACTATTCGCCTGAAAACTACATAGGATATGAAGTTTAATTTGATCGAATGCAATACTAGTATAGTTTATTCAACATATATATCTAGATGAATAGCTTTCCATCCTAAGTGCACTATTAGTATATACATGTTTACTTAGTTATTGTTAAAATTAAGATATTACTTAAAAGTTATAGTGCATGATTCAACATAATCAAAGTTATTTTTTGTGATAATTTAATAACAATTCAGTTAGATAGAGATTGACATGTCGAAACAACAAGTTTTTCCTCAAATTTTATTTATTCGTTCAGCATAGATAAGATTATATAGAATGTAATGTTCTATTCACAAGTCAGCGCGTGATCCATTAGAGTTCAAGTTACGTAGAGCTAAAAGACAGTATGAGTTACACACAGATAGCAATATCCAAATAGAAGCATTTTTTTCTTGATCATGAAATATATCGACCTGCAAACTTTTTTGTCCTCGAATGTACGCTAAAACTTGGTTGAGAAAGTGCAGCCACTTAAACACAAGTGAAATAAATCTACAATAGTTATCACATGTAAAGTTAAACAGACTGAATCTAACTAACAATAATAAAATAGTAACAAGTAGGATAATACTGTAAAACAGTTTTAAATCTTTCGTACATATGTTCACATATTGATTTTCTAATGCTAAAAATAGTTACTCTATCTTGTATTACGCACAAATACTGACTATGACGAAAAAACAACACGAGAATTTAAGCAATCTCTATTATTTATTTCATTAAATACCTCAAGAATCGATAAATTAAGTGTCAGTTGAAACAAATGAATAGGTCTTGATAAAATTACTGAGCTAAACCAAAAGCGAGATAAACACTCATGAACATTGACCAGCATCTCAGGAGTCGTTTCCACTAATGGCTTTTAAAAACAATATGGATTATGTGTTGAGGATATGAAAGTATAACAGATTTCGATATGCGACATGACTTCTTTTTGTCAATACAAGTAGTGAACATGCTTTTAGATGATTTTCATGTTAACTATTTGGCCTTTGATGTAGTGATTAACTATGATTCAATAATAAAATTTGAGTTGTATTACTGGATACTATGTATAAAAGCTTGTTAGCGTACCTTTCTTCAGTGTTGAAATGTGTAACTCACATTTGTTTTTGAGAGTCATTATACTAATACAAAATATATAAAGTAAGAAATCTCTTATTGGCTCCAGTTGTTTTCCAATATAATCGGTCACCAGAGAAACGATCTGTCTAAGTTATTTCGGCATTTCGAACTGATTTTGTTTTCTATTTATTACTGGTACTCTATTTTCTGTTTGAATTGTTGCGATTCACTTGTGTTTTGTCTTTTTCGTAATCCGTTTTTCCTGATTTAACATTAATTTTATTCTAACAAAAGGTTGGATTGACAGATAAGTTTGTTGTACATATCAATTCTAATATCTACAGAAGGTCTGAGCACGTCATTATACTTCTGGATAAATTCACTACTACCGATATTGGTTATATCTCAAAGTTCTAGTATGCTTAGTTCATGCTTTTTATGTTAATTATATCATGATTGTGACAACTCAATGTATCACGGCCCGTTATACTTGATATTTATTATATAGTTTTCTATCTGCACAAAAATAAGAAGCTGCACTATTTATAACCTTCACAAATGTATTCAAGCTACTCAGATTCCTAGAAAAACTTCCAATTTGTCTAGAATTTTCTAAAACAGTCTAAGTCTTGTCATTAGTGCTGTTAAGTGCTTTTTCCTGCTAAGAAACTGTGGAAAAAGAGTTTTACGTCTTTTATCCCCTATGGCTAGAGTCTGTAATGAGGGAGAGCTACAAACTTTCGACGTCAAACCTGCACTCACTATTTTCTTCAAAAATATATCTAAATTCCACAAAATAGTAAAGACATGGTTCATGGGATAGGTTTCTTAGCGTTAGAAGTCCTTCCATATAACTTCATATAGCTTCTAAATTTCATTTCACAAATAGCGACAACAACGTCGACATCTACCACTGCAACAACAAGTAAGTACACCTTTGACTTTACACTGTGATTGAGCAATGCATTAAAAACAATAAATTTCCGATTATATGGATGAAATCGCATGTTTTTAATTAAAATAGTATATTTGTCTGTTTTTTTATATTTATTGATGAGTTTTGAAAATCTTGGAGTCTCAACCATATCCAACATCTTCGTTGTATATCATAATCTGAAAAAATTTCGGCTATGAGTAAAGGATGCCATCCATGTTCACATTTCACATCCAATACAATCCTACTTTTCCTTCTATTTTTCTGTGAAATTTTGATTTTCGAGTATCGCAATCTTAAGAACAATATATTGTTTTTAGACGAAATATCAAGAACATGATGTTGATCATAATATCTATTTTCTTGCGAAATGTACAATAGGAAATAATTGCTTTACTCTTCTGAGCAAATCACTGGCATTAGTCAAAAACTACTATAACAATTATTCGTGTATTGCTGCTATATTAAAAAGAATGAGACACAAAAGCATGAGTTATTCCAATCTTTTGATCGAGTGTCTACAGCCCATATCTTTCCTCAAAAATAACTTGACATATCAATAGATTTCCTCTCAGATCGAAACACATTGTTGAAGACTGCCTGTTAGTGATATCAATTACAACTAACACAAATCTACTTGAATTTGAGTGACTTTTTAGAGAGCTTTGTGCTTTGTTCCAATTAGCTCTTCATTTGTTGATCATGTATCTTTCAGCTACGACTGCTACAACTGCTCAAAGCATAGCTAGTGCCTTCTGGTCATTTGATAGCAATGCACTTGAACTATATAATAGTGGTCTTGATGCTACTCTCTCGGGTAGTCCAATTTATACAACTAGTTTTGCTGGCTATGGTGCAGCTATCTCGTTTACTCGATCCTCTACTCAATATGTTTATATCACACCGAAAGTACTTCCATTCAATTCACGTAGTTTCACAATCGAAGCATGGATCTATCCTGTTAGTTTGTCGAGTAGTAATGACTATGGAATATTCGGTCAATGTCAAGCAACAAGTAGCAATTTATGTTTATATTTCATAGCTCGAAACAACAAATTACTTTGTGGATTTTATAACAACGACATACAGGGTGGAACCATCATAACAATGAGTACATGGCACCATGTAGCATGTATCTATGATCTGACCACGATGACACAACAAGTTTGGCTTGATGGTAGTCTTGATGGTTCACATTCAGCCAGTGCCTACAATGGTCTATGGGGAAACACAACTATTGGTGCCACTTTTCAATTAGGCAGTGCATCTGCTTTCAATGGTTACATAGACAACGTACGATTTGAGGCTAGAGCTAAAAATTCAACTGAAATTCTGAACGATGCTACTCTACATGTTTACTACTCGTTTGATGGTGGTTCACTTACTGACAATGGCCCCAATGGTATCAATGCAACTGCCTATGGAAGTCTATCAACTACAACTGGCCGAGTTAATCAAGCGTTACAATTTAGCTCGGGTCCCTATATATCATATTCATACACTCCATTTTACTTCTTGGGCATCAGCGGGAGTTCATTTACTATAGCCTTGTGGGCAAAGCCGACTGGAAGTTATGCGCAACAAACAATTTTATTAGTAGAACAACCATCTGGTTGGTGTGTCCACTATTTGGTAATGACATCAACTGGACACCTAGTAGCTAATTGTTGGATTGGCTCTAATATAGCTACAAATGGTCCAATCATTTCCTTAAATACTTGGACACATATTGCCTATACTTATAGCACAACCAACGGCATTCGATTATATATAAATGGTAACCTGAACTCGACGACAGGTTCTTTTACATTTTCGGGCTCTGGTGTTCCCATGCGCTTCGTATTGGGTGGAGATAGAGTTGTTCGTCAATATATGTGATCAATTACCTATTCAATGATTGTCATCTGTAGCTTCATTGATTGATGTAAAATTTGAATATTCAAAATAGTGGTCGAACCTACTGCTCTCCAGTCTACGGTAGAGAGCTGCGGGTCCATGTTTTTTTAGACCCGGACCCGGACCCGGACCCGGGAAAAGCTAAATTTTCAGACCCGGACCCGACCCGGACCCGGTCGAGTCTAGACCCGGACCCGGTCGGATCCAGACCCGGACCCGGCCGGGTCTAGACCCAATCCTTTTTTCACCAATATTTGGCACCCTCTGTGTACATGAACAGAAAAGGGAACACAATTTTAGCTCTTCATTGGCCATTT